TACTCACGGAGGCCAGAAGTAGGTGTTGGATCCCTTGAAATTGGAGTTACTAATAATTGTTAGATGCCATGTGGGTACTGAATCTAGTTCTTCTGCAAGAGAAGCTGTACGCCTAACTGCTGAGCCATCTGTTCAGCCCCAGACTTAGTTTTTATTTTATGTGTGTGAATGTTTGTCTGATGTATGTATGTGCACCATGAGTGTGCAGTGTTCATGAAGACCAGAAGTAGGTGTAAGAAACTCTGGATCTAGGATTACAGACAGTTGTGAGTCACCATGTGGGTTTTGGGAACCAAACCCAGGTCCTCTGGAAGAGCAGTAAGTGTTCTCAACTGCTAAGCCACTTCTCCAGCCCCATGATCAATTTTGGAGAAAGGCCATAGGCTGCTGAGAAAAATATGTATTCTTCAGTGTTTGGAAGGAATGCTTTATAGAGAAATGTGTTAAATCCATTTAATCTATGATGCCATTCAATGTGTATATTGCTGTTTATTTGGAAGACCTGTCAGTTGGTGAGAATGGGGTATTGCAGTGACCCACTACTATTGTGCTAGGGTTAATTTGTGACTTTACATAATGGCATTTGTTTTATGTGTCTGTGTTCAGGGTGTATATGTTTAGAACTGTAACTTTCTCTTGGCAGGTTGCTCTCAATCAGTACAAAATTACCTCCTTCTCTCTCTAGTTTCGGTTTAAGATCTATTTTGTTGCTTACTGTAATAGTGACACTTGCTTGTTTCCCAGGATCATTTGCTTGAAATACCTTTTCCATCTCTTTTACTCTAAGGTAGTATCTACCTTTTGTGGTGAGGTGTATTTCTTGTTTTTTTATCTGATTTACTAGTCCTTGTCTTTTCATTAGGGAATTGAGACCATTAATATTTTGAGTTATTATTGAAAGGTATGTATTGATTCCTGTCATTTTGTAGTTTGTTTTTTTCCTCTTCCCCTTTTGCTTAACTATGATTCTAGTGTGGTTTATCTTCTGTAGCCTCATAGATAGATTTGTTTTGCTTTTCAGTCTGAAAAAGTCCTTCAAGTATCTTCTGTAAAGTTGGCTTAGTGGCCATAAATTCCTTTGGTTTAATTTTAGATGAAACGTTTTATTTTTTTCCTTCAATTATGACCAAGAACTTGCTGGCTATAGTAGTCTGGGTTGGCAGTTGTCTTTAAGAAATCCTCCCAGTTTTAACGTTTCAGTTGAGTAATCTGTTGTTCAGTTGACTTGGTATCTCGCTTGCTGCTTTCAGTACACTTTCTCTACTGTGTGCTCTATTCAGTGTTTTAATTACAATCTGTCAAGGGGAGATTCTTTTCTGGTCTTTTATTTGGTGTCCTAAATGCCTCCTGTATCTGGATTGAAATATCTTTTCTTAACTCTGGTATATTTTCCATTATGGTTCTTTAAAGAATGTTTTCTATAGCATTAGAACGAGGTTCCTTTTCTTCTATGCCTATTACCAGTAGGTTTGGTCTTTTTAGACTGCCATGTGTATCTTGGCATTCCCACTGGTACCTCTTTTTCTTATTTCATTCTTTCAGTTCTTCTGCCTTGCCTTCAAATCACTACTGTATATAATGCCCTAATGAATAACTTCATGCATGTGCCATTTTATATTTGTGTATTTATTTCCTTAAAGAGTTAGAAGTGGGATTTCTGAGTCAAAGAGCTAGCACAGCTGCGAACTTGGTAGATATCAATGAATTCCTCTCCAAAGGAATTGCGTCTTTTTGCCCTCCTAGCAATATATGACAGTGCTTGTTTGTTCACTGCCTCACCTACAGAATATATTGTCGAATTTTGATTTTCATCAATTAGTTGGTAGGAAAACTGGCATCTCAGTATACTTTTGATGTTCTCTGTTTTTATGACTGAAGTTGAGGAACCTTCTACATGTTTAAGGAACATCGGTGTTTCTTTCCATGAACTGTTATTCCCGCTATTTTGACACACTCAGGTTTGGTCTTTTCCTTTTTGATTTGTAGGAATTCCTTATGCTAATGTATATAAGTTACTTTTCTCATTATTATGATAAACTACCTGCCAAAAGCAACTTAAGGAAGGGTTTATTCTGGCTCACAGTTTGAGGGTACAGCCCCTCATGATGGGGTAGGCATGATGGCAGGAACTGGAGACAGCTGTCACATTGCATCTGTAGACAGGAAGTAGAGAGTGAGGCATGCTGGTGCTCAGCTTCTTTCTCCTTTTCATGCAGTCCAGGATCCCCAGCCTGTGAAACAGTGCCACCCATATTTAGCGAGTCTTCCTACCTCAACCCAATCTAGAAACTCCATCTCAGACACACATAGACATTTGTTTCCTGCATGAGTCTAGATCCTGTCAAGTTGACAATATTAACCGTCACATAAGGAAATAAATCATTTGTCTGCAATATGTTTCATCTGTCTTTTCCTAGTTTTTGTATTTTTTGTACAGTATTTTAATACAGAAGCTTTCAAAAAACTTTATCCGGTATCAAATTTTATTTATAGATTTTAGTTTTGTTTGTTTTGTTTTTTGAGACAGGGTCTCTCTGTAGTCCCAACTGGCCTGGAACTCCCTATGTAGACCAGGCTGGCCTCAGTCTCACAGAGATCTTCCTGCCTCTGCCTCCCTAGCGCTGAGATTAAAGGCATACAGCACCATGGCTGGCAGATTCTAAATTTTTGTGTCACTTTTGACTTTATTCACTTTTGCTTTTAAGGAGTTCAGCTATATGCTTTTTTAGTAACTATAATTTAAAATATATTTTAGGCTGGGCGTGGTGGCACATACCTTTAATCCCAGGAGTTGGGAGGCAGAGGCAGGCAGATCTTTGTGAGATGGAGGCCATCCTGGTCTACATAGTGAGTTCCAGGCCAACTGTGACTACAAGGAGACCCTTTCTCAAAAAAGCCGAAACCAACCAACCAACCAGACAAAACCAAACCAAACAAATAAACAACCAAAAACTCAAACCCACCCCCCAAAAATATATTTTAGAGTGGTGAGGTGGGTCTGCAGGTAAAGGAACATACTGCCACACCTGATAACTGGAGCTCTATCTCCAAGACCCACATGGTGGAAGGAGAGAACAAACTCCCTCAAGTTGTCCTCTGATCTCCACGTGCAGTGGTGCATGTGCCCCCGCATAATAAAAAATAAATTAAAAAAATATTAAAAGCCTCTCCATATGTGTTATGTGTATGTATGTATATCTGGAATACATTTTCTCGATTTTTTCCCCCTGTTATTACAAGTAAGAGGAGCTTTCTTTCAGAAATCTCTAACTAGTTAATGATGGCATAGACACTATTTATGTTAACTTTATATATTGCCAACTTTCAAAGGTTTTATTGTTAATGGTATTTTTACCATTGAGTATTTTATGTATACAATCATTTATAACTAGAGATAATTCTAGCTTTTTATTTCTAACTCTTATATCTTTAAATGTTTGTCTTAATTGACACATAAGCCTCCAATCCTAAACATTGCTTTGGGTTGAGTGTTTGATTTTCTTGGTCAGCTCTCTCTGTAAGTGACTTGGGACAACTACCCCATGGGTCAGATAATCTTAGCGAGGGTAGCTTTGTAATGGCCATGGGACGACAAAGTTTTTCCTGGAGCTGAGAGTTGCCTGCCCTTGTCTCTTCTCTCTTTGTTTCCTGTCTGGCAGCCTGCAGAGGGCAGGATGAGCAGAATCTCCTTGCTGCCCTGGGCCATAATGCAGATAGCCACAGGAAGTGCTGGTCCAGGGCACAGAGTGAAAGCACTGGATGAGTCCCTGCCCTCTGTGGCTGCAGGCTTGCCTTTGATTAGAGGCAGGGACTTGAGGGATAAGGTGGCTGGAAGATCCCACCACTGTTTCTCAGCCAGAGGGAGGACTGCTAAGAGGCAGAAGCTCAGACACTGTTGAGAGATTCGTCTCTACCAGAGAGAACCCTGCATTGTTTCCTGTGTGCTCGTCACCAGCATGTGGAAAGCAACACCGTTCTTGGCCCCCTTTCCCTTAGAGCTGTGGCTCCTGCAGGCTCAGGTTTTCAGGTCTGGGCTCAAGAAACTGGCTGGGGCTCAAAGATGGCCTAGGGGAGGCTGGATTGAGAACATATGTCTGAGGAATGTGTCTAGGCAAGCACTTCTTGCCTCTTTCTAGGCAAAATGTTCTTTCCCAGCACCTACCCCACCTAGCTGCATGAAGGCTCACCAGATCTATTCAGCCCCACTAGCCCAACAGTCCGGGGAGAAAAAAAGTAGCCCAGAGCTCATTTTAGACCTTTCAAACAAAAATTGGAGTCAGCACCAGACTGGCTTCAGAGGGTCACTCTTCTCTATACAATCCATGTATGGGGTCATTGCATCAGGGAAACTCAGTCTCTCTCTTCTGATTCTATTGCAATGGAGAAGCTGAACCACAAAGCAATAAAGGGTCAATCTGGATGATAATAATAGGGCAAAAGGAATAGAGCTGAGGAGAGGATCTCACTCAAAGTTGCTGTTTGTCTAGGGCCTTTACCCCATACATGGATTTTGCCCATTTGTTAGCTTTCAAGTACAGTGTGGGTACCTGTGGGTGCTCACATGTAAGTTTTCTTTTATGGCTGCACATTCTTCAGCAGGGTGAAGTCAGGGGACCTGACTCATCAGAAATAGATTCTTCAGAATCCTGTGTATGGCATAGAGGCCCTTAATGCTTCAGATAAAAGCTGATTTTTCAAAAAGTACATTAAGACAACTTAAAACCATAGGTTGACTAAGAGGCACCAAAGACTAGTATACCTCTAACCACATGTTTTGTTTATTTTTTAGTGTGTTTCCTTCACGGTCTTTCTTGTGGCTCACTCTATACAGTTTGTGTACTTAACAGCTTTATCTGTTTTTGACATTGTATCTGCCCAACTCAGTTTTTCCAAGACCCTCTTTCTCATAGCTCAGTTTCACCTTGCACCTGCAGTGGGGCAGTTTCAGTCACAGAAGAGGCCACATCTGCTTCCTGTAAGCAAGCCCCCTGGTCAGAAGCATGCATGGCTGGCTGCTCCTGATCTGGGTCCAGGGGCTGAAGCAGGCTGCCCTCTTTGCTGCAGGTAAGGGCTGTAAACCTAGCAGGACAGGGAGGAGGGAAAGAGGAGGCTGCGCTTGGCACTGAGAGTAGTGTGCTTTTGTAGGGAAGGCTCCTGGCGCATATGACATGTATGAATGCCACAATATTCTGAGCCCCATATACTCTCCTGGGAAGAGGCAGTCTTAGAGAAGAGGATGCAGTTCTGTTTGGTGGTCTCAGAGGAAGGACTGTGCAGGTCCTTAGGGGTGGGACCTCTGACTGGCCAGACGTAGAAGAAAGGAGGCTTGGGGGAAGGGACTGAGAAAGGAGCCAAGAAACTCTGAAGTTCATTCCTGCTCCATCTTTTTTTCTGTTTCTGAGAACCTCCCTGGGAAACATTTCAGGTAGAGAGTCTACATTAATATTATAGACAGAATTTGATACATTTATTTCTATTACATTAAAAACCTTAGATAGCCAGGCGTGGTGGCGCACGCCTTTAATCCCAGCACTCGGAAGGCAGAGGAAGGCAGATCTCTGTGAGTTCAAGGCCAGCCTGGTCTACATAGTGAGTTCCAGGACAGCTGGGGCTACAGGGAGACCCTGTCTCAAAAAGACCAAAAACAAAACAACAACAAAAAACCTTAGATAAATATTTCTGAGGGAAGGGAACAAAAATATTTAAAGACTGGTACAAATGCGTTTCAAGACTGCTTTCTTAATGTTCTGAGGGGGACAGGGGCCAAGGAGGGTGCTGGAGGAAGGGATGAGCAGTGATGAAGACAGGTTAGTCTGGAAGAGGCTCTCCTCTCCTCTCTTCTCACACTCCTTTTCCTCCCATTCCCTCCCCCTATAGGACCCTCCTCTCCCTCCCCGTCTCTCTCTCTTACTCTTTTTTCCTTTATCAAG